CTTTTAGCACTACTGGGAAAAAATTAAAATTTATAAAAAAAAATTGACAGATTTTCAACACATCATTTTATGAAGCCTAAATAGGTTAAAGTAAAATTTTATTTATCTTGTAAAAGTGTAAATTTAATTTAGATTTTGTTACGTAATTAAATTTTACTAGCTAATTTCCATTCATATCTCATTTTTCGCATAACTTCAAAACGGCTGTAGTGTTCTGTTTTGCTGGCCTTTCAAATGAATATCTGGCGCATTTATTTTCAATATAATTGTCGAGAGTGTTTTTGTGATTGCTTTCTGCATGACTTGTGATTGTTCTAAAATTATTTACTATTTGCAATAGTTCGCAATATTGGCTGTTCACATAGCGAAAATGCAGTGAATTTCTCAATCAAGCAACCAACATTAAATATGTTGTTTGATCATATGTACACTGATTATTTTTTCTACTATCCAAAATGAGTTTTGAGTGGAGCAAAATCATCTTAATCGTTAAATTTTATTATACCCACCATGAGCGCGCCTTTTGCATATGGGAGGAAATACAAAGACAAGAGGCAGCAATGCGGAGTGTCTTTTGAGCCAAAAATAATGTATCTACTAATCATGAATTTCTGCTGAACTGTTTTGAAGGAGATGAATTAGAATTCAATGTGTTACTCCTCGTAATGCTATTTAATGTGGTCACGTTTTAAAATGTGGATTGACTCACAAATAATCGCGAATCGTGTTGTTTTTACGACGAGGGTGGGCTTTTTTTCCTTTCTTACCTCCTCCACTTTCTCCCCATTCCAAACGAGGTGTTTTATTACATTAGAGGACAGAGCAGAAAAAACTCAAACACAGTCAAAGATTTAATCTATAAATTCGATTGCTCTCTAAATGTCCATTTCATGCTAAACAATGTGTACTTTCTGCTTGGCTGGCTGAAAAACGAAAAGACCATGAAAATGTCCTATTTCACAATATATGTGTTAAGGTATGAATTCAAAAAAAAATTCCTCGTATTTTCAATCGTTTCAATCTGACAACTCCATTAGCAAAATAACATTACAATCTTGTACTTGAATAACACTTTAAATTGCGCCCATCAGTGGCATTTCTATTTAATTTTGCGCTTGTTGATGCTTTCCACATGAAATCCTTTTCGGTCAGCAAACAAATTAATCATGATATTTCGGATGACTTCCTCATTAATAGGATTGGATAGGGTCGTTAGAGTGGGAGAGAGAATCCCAAATGGAAAATTTTCAATGGAATGTCCTCAAAAGCTTACCCAAGTAACACTCTATGTGACTCATATTTGGATGTCAGTTTCTGACTCTCTCTCTCTCTCGATGGCATGAAATCCCACAAAAATATGAAAACTACCCCAAAAAGAAAACTCCCGTAACATTGCTGTAGAAATATTTTAAAATTATAGGAATCAACTTTAGATATTCAACGACTACAAGAATACCACAATTTTTGTTACTCGGGACACTCCAGTTCCGCTTTATGATGCTAAAAAGCAAACTTCTCTCTCTCTCTCTCTCTCTCTGTGTCTTTCTGGTATACTTTTCCCGTACAATCTTGATCGTTTTGACTCCCAAAGGCTCCCCTTTGGGCCACTCTCGAAATCCCAAGTGTGTGTACAGTGGGTCTCTTTCTCATTCATGTTTTCTTAGCACGCAGAGGGTCGTATAAAAAAATGTGAATCCGTGATAAAAGAGGGCAATTTGGGGTGCTTCATTAGAGACATTTTAATATGTTTTGCCTGCCACCTTCTCTGGCCATTTCACACTGTCCATATGGCTCGGGAAGCAGACACAAATTGTTTATGGGGAAGATATTTTAAAATGAGAACAAAATTTCTCCTTATCGCTTTTCATTCTCTTCATGCAACCCATTAAACTTCCCGTGAGCCAAGGACGATTCAGAGAGTGAAAATGTACAACATAAAATGGTATTAAAGAGCATAAAAAAGGCATGCTTCACGGTGAAAACATTCATCGTTCCGGCAAAGGCACTGCAAAACCTTTATGATAAATTTATACCAATCCACGAGGTAAAACAACCGAATATTTTTTTTCCTACCCCTTACACCAAAATGCGCGCATTTCTTTACATCCAGACTTTGAAATAAATAGACACTGGATTTTGTTTGTGGAGAAACTTTCGAGACGTCCTATTCCTGGGTCACAAGACGATCTCAGAAGCTTGAGCGTGCTCGCTCACCTTTAAATTTTTCTCACCTCCTCAAGGAACTTCTCAGGTGCGATGAAAAAAGCGAGCAAAAACTTTTCAAAGCTTCTTTCACTCAAAGTCTCCTTCTTGCTGAGGAAGAGAGAGTGAGAGCAGATAATACAATTTTCCATTCAATTCTTCACCGTTTCCTTGAGGCAGGCAAAGTGTTATTCGCTGTAAAGCAATTATTGCTGGATATTTCAGATGGAGAAAAAGGGTTTTACCACGAAGAAAATAGTCGTATTGCATGGTTTTCCCCATAAAAGGCACACCCGAACGAATGTGTGAGTGTGCACAGTCGGGAATGGCCAAGTTGTGGCCATCACCAATAAATTGTTAGAAAATCCTACACTTCCAGACTCCTTTCTCGTCACAAAAGACCGGGAAATTTGATAAAAATCCCCAATGGAAAACTTGAGGGGGGAAATACGAGAAATTTTCAGTTTGTGAAAATACCGCAAAAGGGGTTGAAATCAGACTTGAAATATTTATGTAAATTCCACTGAGCTTTTCCCGGAGCCTCGCATTGATTTCTCACACACATTTCCACCTTCTCTGGGTGGAAAAGCTCCCATTTTGCGGCAAAAGAATCACAGAATTTTTGGGTGAAAAAAGAAAATCCCACCCCCAGTGTAATGATATGATATCTAGAGGGTGTATAACAACAATATAATGGCTCAAGGGGTGATGTTGAATACTTTCACTCTTTTCATTGTAGAAATTACCACTGGATGCTTCCTGGAACTGGACGCACACGCGCCGGAAAGTGGCTGAGAGTGAAATATTGTGAGTCTTGCAATAACGAGGAGTAACGATTATGGCGCATTTTGGTTGCAGACAACACCACCACGCATTCAACAATGTCTCAGCAAAATATCCATGACATTAGTAGACACATTATAAGTAATTGCTCCGGGTGTAAATTTAGACATTGTCCCATAAGCATTTCACACCCATTCATAATGCTAACACGCCATATAAACCCTCAACCATATTGTTATACACAGTCAGATGACCTTTTTTTCTAAGGGCGACCAGCAAAAGGCCCCACAAATTCACTGGTATATTTAAGTCAAACTCAACCCCTTCACCGAAACTTCCAACCGACTTTTAATTACTCGTAAAACTCTATATAATTTTCCACCCGCTTCGCAAACTTTCCCCAAACTTCAAATTATTGGTAATGACAATTGCAATTATTACAATTATTACAAGTTTTCTCACTGATAAAATCAATATAGAAAAAAAAAACTCGCAAATATCACAAATTCCGCACCTGGCGAGGCACCATAAAATCCACACTATATAATTTAAATCACTTAAAATAGGGTAAAGTTTATGCACTCAAATTTGCCGACCCAAATTGCAATTGAGTTTTACGGTCTCAAGCGCAAGAAAAGCCCCACTTTTCTTTTACGGATTGCATCGTGCAATTATTTTTATTGGCCACTTTCGCTTGGCTATCAATAAAACTGCAAGATTTCCATCGCGGTCCGACTTAAAGGGACGAAGGATGTGCTATAAATTTCAAATAGTCGTTCCATAAATTTCCTAAGCATCCAATCTTCTGGAGTTTAGGATAAAAATTATGTTGATTTCCGGTCAAAATCACATTCAGAGTTGCAAAAAATTCCATTTATCATATAAATTTTGGTCAATAACTCTGAATGTGTATTATAACAATTGGGAGAAATTGATTTTACGGAGGATTTGTGGAATATTTTCTATACAATAGTACATTAGAATAGTACATTTTACGTAATTTCCAAACTCAGATATTTGACACACTAGCAATTCAAATACAAACAAATACAGGGTAGACAAGCTTTTCCACGTATTCTGTATTGTGACTGATTTGGCTACGTTTGAACTTTGTTGCTTCCAAGATTACAGCAATTATACACTTACGAATGACCGACGAAGTTTCCTATCAACTTAAGCTTCCGCTTGTGTTGGTAAATAACAACTACAGATTTCTCTAAGTACATAATCTACGACCTCAAATGAATAAATAAAATTGTGTAGAACATGAATCATGAAAATTATGTGTGCATTTCATCATTATAGGTCGCAGTATTTTGTAAATATAATACTATATTAATAATATATTATAAAGCTACTTGGAAACCCAAAAATTTCATCGAAATATTGTATATTTACCAACACTTCTAACATAAACAGAAGAATGTCGCTCGGAAGGCAGTAAAATTTCTCAGGTGAAGCCTTTTGAGTACTTTGTGAGAGTTCAGCAAGAAATTAGAATGACCTGATGAGGCTGTGTAGTTGGAGGATTTTGGGGCCCGCCAGCATGCCGACAATATTTCTGCTTGCGCCCCCAAAAAAGCTATGAATATTCCACACAATGTCGCACACACCCTTTAATATGTAATATTTTGCTTTCCCGCACCCACCAAAATGTTTAAGTCTTGGCGAAGGAATAATTTGTGACGGAGAAGATTCAGCTGTTTTTCACCACTCCGGCAAAATCCCGAGGATTTGCACATTATAGGAATCCATTATTTAAAAGCAAACAGCAAAACCATTCTCGCAGCCACGTGTGAAATGTGTCACTGTAAATACTATTGTGGACCCACCTGAACTGAGGGGCGAGTTTAATTGGGTACTTTATTGCGCCCCAGGGAATTCATCCCGGACCCGCTGTGACGATTTTAATTGAAAAAGCTTAGCGTGGTGGAGGAAAAATTGTCTATTTGTTGCTGAGGCAGCAGAACGAAATATATATGAGCAAATGATATTGAATTTGAATTAGCATTTACCTTCTTGAGATCCTTGAGTTGCTCCACATCGTCAGCTTTGCGCTTCTCCGTAGCGACCAATTTCGATTTCTCCTTATCACCCGCAATTATCTGTAACGAATAAGAAAGGAGAAAATGTGAAGAGTTCCATGCAGTAATACTTAAAGTTTAGTATATACATAATTTCCCATTTCATCGTTAATTGACTCTGAAGTCACATTTCGTCAATGTAATATTTTACACAGCCTTTCTTTCCTGGCACGCAGTTTTTCTACTCAATTTCTCATCAAGCGTATGAGCCAGAGTAAACACCCACGGATTCTTGAGAATTTTTCACACACATGTAGCTTTTGTTTACCCACCCACATCGCCAGACTTTGCCATGGTGGTAGGACGGTGGAAAGCTCCTCTTGACGAGAGTGACAATGGGAAGAATAGAGCATACGCCACGCTTTTTGACGAAGACACATTTCACGTGTCTCAATCAGGGGGTTTTGCACAGAAACACTCTCGACAAGACAATTTATTTGCCACGCTTCTCTGTAAAGGAAAATTGATACTCATTCTGAAGTGAAATTCCACGTGAACAGTGAGATGGCGAAATTAGTTTTAAATTAAACACACGAGCAGCACACTTGTGATCATGAAAAATCTTCTGTCTTCAAGCTCAATTCTATTGAAGAAGAAAGAACAGATATAAACCAAAGGCTCGATATACCATTGTCAAGTATTTTAGTCAAGTGTGAATGAAATGAGGAATTTTGGGTGCACTTCGTATCTCTCTTGGTCCATGTTGGACTGCAAAATGACTCACTAAGATGCCAGAAATCAAATTTAAAATAATTGAGATAATCACATGATTTGCTATTCTAACTTCTAACACCTAAAATTTTCCATGAATTTAGACGGCAATTAACCATCGAGTTTTGTTACCAAAGCATCTTATAAACCAAAATATCCTTTAGCTTTTCCCAGTTGCAGATCCCTCGGAGGTTCATTCAAATGGAGGTATCATGTGTGTCATGTTTTGATAAAAATTTATAGCGAAACGTCTATCATATGAATGCCAAGCATCCTACAAAAAAAGAGAAGAAAACGAGGCCTCCAGGGAGGGTGGTACTCTAGGGAAAATTCCTACGAGGCAACTCGATATAGAGTACAAGTAAATCTACTTCCAATTGAGTGACTTAATTGCCCGCCCCGCTGCTTCTGGGAAAAAGTCCAACACAGTGGGAGATAATGAAGAGAAAACTGTGCGGCGCCAGAGTGAGAGAAGGGAAGCCTTCTGGGGGTGCTGCTTTGGTGGTAAGAATTATTCAATTGTCACCTAATGTGTGAAATTTGTTCCTCCACATGGCCCTGGCGTGCTGGAAAATGTCAATTGTGGTGAGCAATATAGAGCGATCTCTGGGCCTCAAGCAAACAATCAAGCACACTCTTTAATCTCTTCCCCATATCCCGCATCCTTGCCCTCCTTATGTGACTGACAGCCTTGTCACACTGTGGCACTCGTGGAGATTTATAGGAGGCATAGTATCTGCATGAATATTTAATGCCATTGTAGCGTCTTTCGTCTTATTTGACTGCTTGAAATCCACAGAGCGAAATTATCCACTTAACACTCCCACACAGTGGAGTGACTCCAGAGTCACACAAGTTAATTAATTCCTCCTCATTTGCCTGCGCCTCCCATTCTCGATCGCCGCCCCTGACGTACAAACAACTGTCGAGGCATAAATCTTGGGAGAGAGAATGCCTGAGATTTTCCAGAAAAACCCATGAAGACACTAAATCTCTTGCTTCAATTTGCCAAATTCCAACCCATGAAAAACGCCCCACTCTGAAATTCACACGAGAATCAATCAATTAGATTAAGTTACAAAATGTGCACATTGATCTTATTTGCATGCAAGCGAGTGTATTTGATTTGCTTGTCTTCGCCAACCGACTGTTTTAGCAATTCAAACATCTCCGCAGATTGTGGATTTAGGCTCAAGTGGTATGTGTGTGTGTGTGTAGTTTCACCATTATTAATTATATTGGGGTGGGTTGAGAAAGAGCTGGTTAAGAGCCCTCAATGTTTATTGCGCACTGAAAGGAGAGCTTACGTAAGTTTACAAATATATTTAAAGTCGCCAAAGCTCCAACATCAGGCAAAATTGATGAATTCATGAGTATCTCCTGGTTGCTTGATTGATTAGAAAATATCAGTCGCCACTGGTAAACAAGTTATCACCTGCAGGGAAAGGAATCGTTACAAAGTGAAAAACATCACTTTTTTCTCATTCCCTCTTTGAAAATTGCACTAAAGGTGATTAAATGGATTTTCTGCAGAATTTCCTTCTGGGAAAAATACAGAATATTCCACAGCTTGTTCTTTCACCTCTTTTTACGCCTCTCTCGTTTCCATTCAACCATCTTTTCCCTAAGGAATTCTACCTCGAAGTGAGTTACCCAGTTCTTCAACAACTTTGTCATATAAAAGATGCACTTTCATCACATAGAGAGAAGCACGATAGTTTCGTGGCCGCAGTTTTGGGATTCCGGGAGGCCCAAAGAAAAGAAAAGCGAGAGAATTACCAGACAACGGAGACACCAGCTGTGTCTATTTTCGATTTGCTTAGCCCGTGAACCTAATCGCCAGTATAAATAACCCCTCAGGAACAGACGCGAAAGATTTTGTGAAATAAAGTGTATAATAGAGAATGTAACTACTTGCTCAGACATATCGTGATTATTCTTCTTAGCTCATCTTGATTGCGCATTAATAGTCAAGCAAAAAAGTATAACAAAAAAACAACAAGACACCGCGAGAAATTAGTCAATTTGGCTTCTGCACAGTGCGTGTTTTAATTGTTGATACCCACAGACAATTTATTATCATCTTCTTGCCATCAATTCTCAATAGGTGCCAAGGAAAAATGCTGAAGATTAATTCCCTCAGAAGCAAAAACTCACGCGCGCACCTCTTAAATTTAAATCACAGCACTTTTTGAGGCATTTACGAGTCTCTGGCTACGTTGTCTGAATCTTCCTCAATTATCATTTAACAAGGCACTTGAGAGACTCATTGACGATAATGACACTTTCCTTCTCATCCTTTCACCATGAGAAAAAGCGAACACCTCGTCTCAGTCGAGAGCCCACTTACCCTATTTCCCTAAGACTCCACCACCTCGTCTTCCCTCTTTGCGGGGATTTTATCAATTTGCCATTGTTGGGACAACAAGGCTCATTTCCATCCCTGCGAATCCTCCCCAAAAGAACTCCGAAGGAAAGCGCAACGCAGAAATAATTTGGAGTTTTGCGGAAAAGTCTCTCAATCTCCACCATTAGTCCCTTTGAATTTCATTACCAGCGCCAAGATATTTGCACCCTAATTGATGTCATTTTTATCGCAGACTTTTAAAGGCGACAGTTTCATAAAATAGCTCTAAAAGTTAGTAATAAAAACACGTAAAGAATTGTAATATGATGTATGAAATTAATAATATTTAAAATTGGAAATTTTCCTGCAAAAATGCAGCATTGAATAGAGTTTAATGGAACTCAGACTAGATTTCTAAATTTTGTTAGATGGATAATGCAGTTAGCAAAGATCACAAGAGGTGTAATATAAATCCCTTGAGACAGTGCGCAATCCCTTCAAGGATAAACTGACTTAATCTACGACTTCTCCAGTGGCGGCTGGAGGAATTCACCTTTACTGACCTTTTGGCGCAGTGTCTCAAGAAATTTAGCTCCGAAATGTGTCTTGCGGACAAAAAACAGCTCTAAAATAAGGTTCAATATGTCGGGCGAGAGGTGGCAAAAAGGGAGCCCACAAGAATAACATCTTAAAATGACACTTTTTATGATGGTGTACACAATTTGTGATACTGTCTTGTAAAGTTTGGTGATATAGAAGAGCATGCAACAACACTTTACGAGGCATTTTATTGGTCGTCACACTCTTGTATCTGTTTTTTTCGTCTCTGGGAGTGCCTCTTTTGGATACCGTCTAGTTCCTTTGTTACATTTATATTATACTCTTCAACTATGAAAACCAATTGGTGTGACATATTTTTCCAACCCACTCTCCCTTTAGGCAGCGCCCCATGTTTTGTGCCTTTAGAGAAAAGTGACTCCCTCACGGCGTTGGGACTTATTGGAAAAATTTCCATCATATTTCACCATAAAATATATCACCGAAAAACCATATTTCGACGTTATTTACTGGTCCGTTTGGTGTGGGTGAGAGGTTAACCATTTTGCACGGTTCCCAATGAAGTTTAAACCGCGGAAAATGTCACTTCCGTGCTGGAAAAGCGATTTTTCATCGATACTCGCTGCAAATCTCACAGGACTCATGAGGTAATGTTATTGTATCCAATGCAAAAAGCTAGAAAGCCTTTAAAAGAGAGAAACACTCTGTATCAATATTTGTCTACAGGGACGTGCAAAAAGCATTTATTTATTGCGACTGCAATTGATTTTGGACAATTTCACGTACCAATATTTATTCGTCGAACAAAGTAATGAGTTTTTTACCCTACTATCGTCACATCACTGGGAAATTCATGCTGCATTCATTAATTTCTCTTCATGATGAACGTGATCGGATATTGATGGGATTTTTCAATGGTTATTATTTATCATCTTGAGATGAGATTCTCCATTGTCTAACCACCCACGTTGAGGATTTGCTTTTCTCCCCCACAAAAAGACGACAGAAATGTCTCTTCGATTGCAAAGAGTGTCATTGAGGAAAAATCCGATACACCATTCAATGGCTATTCTTTCATTTGTCCTCTCGCCTCAAATTTCCCATCAATTGATGAGGTTGTCAAAGGAGCTCTTCACCCAATATTGCCCACTTTTTCACCCACTCAATTTGGCAGAATCGAAGAGAATTTGTCAAGGTTTAAAGTGTGGGTTTGCGCGTCTTTGTGCAAAGTGTCTTGTAATTTGCTACCAGTCTTGATACAAAAAGGTGTAATACTTATCACACACTGCAGACTGTTGCAAATATATTGAAATGTTTGGTTCACGCCAATGTCAATATCGAACTTTTCAGAGATGTGCCATCAAAAATCAACAACATACTCTGAAGCTATTTTGCAAAGGTGTTC